TATTTATTATTATTTACTGTAAAGTGCAGTTAATATGTAAAGTACAGTGACTCTTTATTTTGTAGGCGAACACCGTAGCCAACTTTGTGCACTGCATTTTTATTATGTGATTGACATTTAAGTTGAACAGAAAGCTAGCTCCACTACCATTCCCTCCAGTGTCCTGGGCAACATCTTCACAGATAAAACAGGTCATTCACTTCATGGCTGTTTATAGAACTTTGCTGTGGCTTAAATGCAAGGATTATTATTTTGTATGTGCGCATGGAGAAAATCTATCGAGGGCAGAGAAACAGGTTAATACTGTTACCTTCCAGAGCAGAGAACATGAAAGGAGCGAGAGTATCAGGGGGGGGGGCTCAAACAACAAAAAGTTTTGATGTTGTTTGTCAACATTCAAAACAAATCTACAGAAACACTATTTCAGTGAGCGAGTAGCAAATGTATCGAACAGGCTCCCTAGGGAGATGATGGAAGCAGAAAGTGGCGAAAGTGGTGAATTGGACAGACCATGTTCTTTTGGACAGCAATTCTTATATTCTTATGTTCTTAAAAATAAGTTTGTCTTTAAGAGACAAATAGCGTAGGATTAATTTATTACCAGATGTTTGGTTCTGATCAATGCCAAGAGGGTGGGGGTGGGGGGTGGGGGGAGGGAATGTCAATTTCTGTGCCCAGCAAATCCTCTTAAGAGGAATGGATTGTATCTATAATGAAATAAAGATCTGAACTCTGCCATTTATTTATCAAGAGCTGACTGATGGCTGGCATTTGACGGGAGGGTTTTTCTGCACTTAGAACAAAAAAGAGTGTAGGAGGAATAACACAAAAGGTAGCACGACTTAACCCCGAGAGACGTTCGTCACAAAATTTATTTTATATTCCAAATGCCGAACATTGTAGTGTCACGTTGGCGCCAGGAAGAGGATAAATTGGCTCTGGCCTCCTGTTTGTCCCTCGTTCCCTCCGCTCCACCATTGGCAGCTGCACTTTCAGTCACTACTGCCCGAAGCTGTGGAACTCGCTCAAACAACAACAACAACTTGCACTTAAATAGCGCCCTCCACGTAGCGTCTCAGAGCACTTAACAGTGGCGGAGCCTACTTCCGAGCCGGGGGGATGGGGGAGGTGGCTATAAGCACAGACGAACTGGAAAGTTTTCAGGCAGCACTTGAAAGAGGGGAGAGAGGGGTAAGGGGAGGGATTGAGGGAGAGTGTTCCAGAGTTTGGGGGCTTAATGGCTGAAAGCACGACCACCGGTGGATTGGAGAGTGAGGAGGTCGCAGAGGTAGGGAGGTGCCAGGGAATGAATGGATTTGAACACGAGAGTGAGGATCTTGAGGTTGATACGTTCGGAGATGGGGAGCCAGTGCAGCCTGGCCAGAACTGGTAAGATGTGGGTACGGAGTTTGGTCCGGGTAAGTATGCAAGCAGCAGAGTTTTGAATGAGCTGAATCTTGTGAATGGTGGAGCTAGGGAGACTGGCGAGAAGTGTGTTGGGGTGATCCAAGCAGGAGGTGACAGGCGCATGCACAAGGGGTTTGGCTGCATTTGAGTTAAGGTATGGTTGGAGGAGGGCAATGTAGTGGAGGTGGAAGAAAGCGATCCTGGTCAGGGACTGGACGTGGGGGAGGAAGGACAGCTGGGGGTCGAACCGAACACCTAGGTTGCACACTGGTTCGATGAGTCTGAGAGAGAACCAAGTGTTGGGATCCACAGGAGTGAAGACGTTGACGGGAGCCAAGGAGTATGGCTTCCGTCTTGTCCATATTCAATTGCAGGAAGTTTACACTCATCCAGGCCTTGATGTCTGCCAGACAAGCTGATAGAACCTCGGTGGACCCGGAGTTGGTACTGGAGGACACAAAGTAGATTTGTGTGTCATCCGCATACATGTGGAAGTTTACCCTGTGTCTGCGGATGAGATTGCCAAGAGGGAGCACATAGATAAGGGAAAGAAGAGGGTCAAGGATGGAGCCCTGGGGTACCCTGCAGGAGGCTGGGCAGGGGCAGGAGGAGAAACCATTTGCCGAAATGGAGGCGGTTGGTTAAGTAGGACTCGAGCCATGTGAGTGCGGTCCTACTAAGGTAGATGAGGGAGGAGAGCCAATGGAGGAGGATGGTGTGGTCGAATGTGTCGACTGCGGTAGAGAGATCCAGGAGGACAAGGAGGCAGAGGGAGCCCTGGTCACAGATAGAGAGAATGTCGCTTGTGACTTTGACAAGCGCTGTCTCTGTGCTGTGGGCAGGCGAAAACCAGACTGCAGGGGCTCGAGGAGGGAGTGGAAGGAGAGGTATGACCAAAGTTGACCTGCAACAATGTGTTCCAGGACTTTGGCAAGGAAGGGTAGGTTGGAGTTGGCATTGTAGTGTGCGAGATTAGAGGGATTGAGGGTGGGTTTTGTGAGGAGGGATGTGATTCCAGCGGTTTCTGCTGTCAGAACCACTGGCTCTCCCACAATCTCTCCAGCTCGACCTCTCTTTTAGATCACAATGGAAGACCTTCCTCTTCGACTGTGGTTACAGTCACCTCCTCCATCCCCCGGCTTGGCGTCAGGCGCTTGGAGATGCTGCCTCGCGTGAAGGGCACTATGTAAATGCAAGTTTTTGTTGAACAGAAATCCAACTATATTACTATTTGCTACATAATAATGTTTTCAGAAATACTTGTGACATGAAAGGCAATATATAAATGCAAATTGTATTCCATTGCATATACATGAGAGCTGGGTTTGGTGGGGGGTGGTGGGGTGAGTGGGGTGGGGTGGGGAGAGTTGCACACAGGTTTAGATGTACTCTATTTACATTTCACTACAAAATATCCAAAATTTGGCAGATTGTTGAATTCAGTCTTAATTCTGAAGCCTTGTTTTTGTAATTCTTAAATGGGGAACATACAGAAAAAGAAATTAAGACGATATTCAACAATTTGCCCTATTCTGAAATGCAAACAAACCAGAGTTATTCCAGACTTGGGTGGAATCTCTACCTGATTCAGTTAGGTTAGTGAACTGGACCTTTCTCTCTCTCCAAAAATATGCAGCCACTTTTAGTGTGGTCTTATTAATAATAATCAATGCATTTGATGTACAACAACAACAACAAGATTCCATTTATAAAGCGCCTTTCACGTCAGGAGGACGTCCCAAGGCGCTGCGATGTAGCGCCTTATCACATCGGTGAGACTTCTCAAAGCGCTTCACAAAATGTAATAATAATAACAGTGCTCCTCAGAATATACTGTAAATAATAATAATCCTTGCATTTGATATCGCACCTCATCACGTTGTCGAGACATGTCAAAGTGCTTCACAGAATATACTGTAAAGTGAATTGACTGTATATTTTGTGGGTGAAATATATTGTAAAGTGGATTGTCAGTGTATTTGTGGGTGAAACACAACAACCAATGGCACAGCCGTGGATTGAGTGACCAAATTACATTCTGCAAAAGGAAGCAAACACTTTCATTGTGAATTTATACCACAGGACTTGAGATCACTGCATACCTGATTGAGAAGGGAATACAACAACAACAACATTACATTTGTAAAGCACCTTTCACATTGGGAGGACGTCCCAAGGTGCTGGACAATGAATGTTTTGGACCCAAACTGGGGGTTGGGATCGCGGAAGGTGGAGGGTAGGGAGGGAAGGAGAGTGATCGAAGGCATGGCCGAAGAAGAGGGTCTTGAGACGGGACTTGAATGAGGCAGGGATAAAGTGCGGATAAAGTGTTAAAGGTGTTGAAGGCAGCAGAGAGGTCAAGGAGGACGAGGAGGCAGAGGGAGCCCTTGACCAAAGCTGTTTCTGTGTTGTGGGCACACGGAAACCTGATTACAGGGGTTCGTGAAGGGTGTGGAGGGAGAGGAAGGATCGAATCTGGGAAGCAACGACTAATTCTAGGACCTTGGAAAGTACAGGGAGGTTGGAGATGGGGCGGTAAATTGAAAGCAGAGTATGAAGATATGAATAAAGGGTATGAAGAGAGAGTATGAGTGAAGTGAGGTGGAGAAAATTGTGGAAGTATAGACCCAAGTGGAAATCACTTAACTTTGTCATTCACTTCATGGCTGTTTGTGGGACATTGCTGTGTGCAGGTGAGCTGCTGAGTGTACCTACAAATACACAGTCACTACACTTTACAGTGAATTCTGTGAAGTGCATTGAGACATCCACCCAATGTGAAAGGTACTATACAGAATGCAAAGGTTATTGCTATTCAGTTTACCTAGCTGGTAGATTGGTTACTAAACAGGTTAATCACGGACATCATAGTAATGCATTAATTTCAAGAGAATTCTTACTGAATTTGGGAAGCATTCATCTGTCTCTTCCTCAATCACTTCAACTTCCAACTGAGGCTCAAGTATTTAAGCTTTGTGACTCTTATCACCCCACCCATGCCCGGCTTCACTGGCTCCCCATCCCTCATAGGAAAGAGTTAAAAATCCTTGTCCACACCATCAAAGCACTCCACGGCCTTGCTCCTCCCTACATCGGTGACCCGCTAACCCCTTATCAACCTGTCTGTTCACTCTGCCTAGTGGGCTCTGTTCAGCCTGCTCCGTGTCTACCGCCTGGCCCGTCCCATGATTGCCAGTCCGGCCTTCAGCCTCTCTGCCCCCATCCTTTTGATCTCCATTCCACAGTCCCTTTGCTTCGCTCCTCCCTTGCCTCCTTCAAGCCCATCACAAGACGCATCACATCACATCCTCTTCGACCAAGCCTTCAGTCACCCTCCTACCCCTACCATCCCTGCCCTCCACCCCTCCTGATCCCAACCCCCAGCTCGGGTCCAAATCCCTGACTGTCAAGCACCTTGGGGTGTCCTCCCAACATGAAAGGCGTTACACAAATATAATTTGTTGTTGTTAAGGAAACTTTAACTGAGCCTTAACTTGACCACACGAGGATCAAAGCAGAGGGGCTGCAAACGCACCATGACAACACATTCAGGTAAGCAGGGCCCCACCGCGAGAGCATTGTAATGTACGTACCAAGCGGTAAGACGATGAAAAAGGGAAGCCAGCAGAGAATGAAAACACCGACCACAATCCCCAGAGTCTTGGCGGCTTTCTTCTCCCTGGAGAACTTGAGGAGGCGCATGGACAGGGAGCTGCGGAACTGCTGCCCTTTGTTCTTGGGCTCGTCAATCGCGCTCTTGCAGTGAATCCTCAGGACCACCTTCATGGTCTTGCTGCGCTCTTTCTTCACCCCGGCCTCAAGGCTCTTGGTGGTCCGCCTGGCCACCACGTAGATCCGAAAGTACATGACCAGAATGACCATAAGGGGGAGGTAGAAGGACAGGAGTGAGGAGAAGAGAGCGTAACCGGGCTCCTCCGTGATACTGCAGACCGTCTCATCGTCTGGTGCGGGTTCCTTCCAGCCCAGAAGGGGTCCAATGGAAATGACCATTGAGGACAACCAGAGGACTATGAGAATCCACACCGCCTTCTTCTCAGTCATGATGGTTGGGTATCGCAAGGAATAGCGCACACCTATATACCTGGTAAATAAATAATAATTTGGTTAATCGATTCATGACTGTTTGTAGAATACTGCTGTGCGCAATTAGCTGCCGAAGTTCACCCACAAAATACACAGTTAATTTACTTTTCAGTAAGAGAGAGGACGCGGGTTCGATTCCTTGGCAGGCAAAACCTTAAGCAAGTTTCTTTATTCCACATCTCTCTGTTTACCTGGTAGTAAGTAGGAACCCAGTTGTTAGTCGATTGGGATCATTTTCCAGGGGTAATAATACCTCAAAGAAATATCCACGACTGTTTATGGGACACTATGCTAATTGGCTGCTGCATTTCGCCCACAAAATACAATGTCAATCCACTTTACAATATATTCCGTGAAGTGCTTTTAAACATCTCAATGATGTGATTAAGGCACTATATCAATTGCAAGCATTATTATCATTAAATAGTATCATATCACTGTCAGAACACTTTGCAGGATTTACTGTGCAATGGGTTCAGATCCCCAGACATCAAACACAAGTCATCATATCTCAATGATGCGATAAGGTGTTATATCAAATGCAAGGATTATTAATATATTATTATTATTACCTGTCGATGGATATGATACACAGGCTCATGATGGAAGCCGTGCAACACAGGACGTCGACAGCTGCCCAGATGTCACAGAAGATCCTCCCAAAGCACCAGTAGTCCAGGACCTCCAGAGTAGCTGAGAAAGGCAGGACGATGGAGGCTAGGAGCAGGTCAGCCACAGCCAGGTTAATGATAAAGTAGTTGGTGACGGTTTGCAGTTGCCTGTTACAAGCCACCGAGAGGATGACCATGATATTGCCCACGATGGCGAAGAGGATGAAGAGGGCTAGAGTGAGCCCCAGGACCACCGCCTGGTTCACGTCCAAGTCCGGCTCCTCCGTCCAGTTCCCTGCGCTCACGTTGAGCTGAATGCTGAGGTTCACCATGGGCTCGTTCTCCTCGGAAGCATTTAACCCGAAGCCCTCGTTGGAAAACTCGTAAAAAGTCATCTCAGCAATGTTCCCGCTCCATGCGGGGTGGGGCAGAGGGGATGGGGTTCTCCGTTCTGGTACCACTTCTGCCCTCAAAACACACGGTCACAAACCAAACAGTTTACAGTGTATTCTGCGAAGCACTTGAGACGTCTCAACAACACGATATGGTGAAAGGATGGTGCCGTATACGACTTCACGGCCGTTTTTTGCTGCAAATGTTGAGCTGTGTGCATTCGTGTCACACCACGTGTTCCGTCACACGCACTTTATCAAAGAGGTTTTCCACGAGTTGCGTTTTGAGGTCCTGGAGAGAGCCAATCGCTTGCTTCTGACCCCATCCCATCCAATGGCCAACCTTGTGGCCAAAGCTCCTACGTGTTTGAGTGTGAGTGTGTGTGTGTGTGTATGTATGTGTGTGAGTGTGTGTATGAGTGTGTGTATGTGTGAATGTGCGTGTGTATGTATGTGTGTGAGTGTGTATGAGTGTGTGTGTATGTGTGTGAGTATGTGTGTGTGTATGTGCGTGAGTGTGTGTCTGTATGTGTGTGAGTGTGTGTATGAGTGTGTGTGTATGTGTGAGTGTGTGTGTGTGTGTGTGTGAGTGTGTGTATGTGCGTGAATGTGTGTGTGTATGAGTGTGTGTATGTATGTGTGTGAGTGTGTGAGTATATGTGTGAGTGTGTGTGCTCCTCTGCCTGGGCTCAGCAAAAAGCGTAATTTGTCAAGTCCCATTCGCATTTGCTGAAATCTCTTTAAATCGGTGGAATGGTGGGGAAAGGACTTTCCAATGGCTTTCAGGTTGAAAGCTCCAGTCTCTCTCCCCCTCCCCACATAGCCTCATCAGCTGCAGTGAAAGTGACCTCAGGAGGGCAGCAACCACCAGTCTGTGGAGGCAGAAAGTTTGTTAACAGTGAAATAACGGACACAAAACTCCCTTTTTTTTAACCCCAAAATCTTAAGATAAAACACTGTACCTGTTGCATCAACATCTCAATGACCTGAGTTCTGATCTGCAAACCCTTCGTGATCTGAACTGTATGTAAAATGGGCTTGTTCTCCCGTCTAACATGCGCTTGTTGGTTTCGCTCTTACCGAAGGCAGAGACAGACTGAGCCAGGCTGGGGCTGGCCACAGCTGATCTCCAGACACCCTCTCCCCCAAAGAGATAGACCCTGAGCGATCAGTACCTTTTTCCTCAACGTATAAAGTGACACATGGCTTTAAAGTGATCACGATTTTAATGCAATGAGATTTGTTTCTTGCTTGAGAAGAGCGATCTCCTCTGCAATCTGCAACCAAATATATATCTCCAAGCTCTGGGTCAGCTTGAACATGGTCACTGAGGATGGGGAGGAGGGGTGTGTGTGGGTCGGTGGGGGGGGTTGTTGGTGGGGGGTAGGGGAGGAGACAGAGACAGGGAGGGGTGGAGAAAAGAGAGAGGTAGAAGAGAGAGAAGGGTAGAGAGGAGAGAGGTGGTAAAAGAGAGAGAGGTAGGGAGAAAGGGGGGAGAGGAGAGATAGAGAGAGGGATGAGGGAAAAGGAGATGAGGGAGAGAGGGAGGGAGGGAGAAGAGGAGAAGAAGTTTCCCTGCAAAACTTACTAATTTAGTTAGTTAATTTTAGCAGGATTTCTGAAAGTGCGGATGGAAAACCAGACGGTTTGTGAGGACAGAATGGGGTGTTTGCAGCAAACCCAAAGCACATTGAAGGGGGCGCTTTTTCTCAGTGGAGGGGGGGCATTTAAAACCATATTCCTTCTTGCAAAAAAAACAAATGGCTTTGAATGTAGGCAGGGCTGAGGGTTACTCAGACATTGGAGACTTTAGATTTGTGTCCAGACCATAGTGCCGTGTGGACTTCTGACTCATTTTTAAATAATAATAATCTTTGCATTTGATATAGTGACTTATTACGTCGTTGACGAGTCTCAAAGCGCTTCACAGAATATATTGTAAAGTGTAGTGACTGTGTATTTTGTGGCTGTAACCAATCACACATTGTCACACTGTTTGGAAACTGAATGGTGGTTTAGCAATCATTTCAGCATAATCTGCTCTCGCCTGTATTTTAATGAGAATCGTTCTATACGTGAAAAGATATGCTGAGCAAATGTTGTTGCACATTATTTGGGATTGAAGTGTTGCAGTTTGACAGAGAGTTAGAAATCGAGGCTGTATTTGAGGAGACAACTTTTTTTGAAATCAATTTGTAAAATGTTGAATCCAATAGAGGAATTTCGACATCATAAAATCAAGATAAAATCAAGTTTCCCTCAAACCCTTCTTTAGTTCTGAGTTCCTTTTGCGCATTTCTCTCTGTCTCTCTTTCCATCCCTCTGTTTCGACTTGTTTTACATCTCTTTCTCTCTCTTACTCACTCTCTCTCTCTCCCCTATACCATATTCCCACCGGAGGCGTTGATGCATTTCAGTTTATTACAGTTTGCAAAGATCATTCCAAAGTTAGGGGGATTGACGTTCTAATAAACAGAAGGAAAGTTAATATTATATGTCATATTCTGATCTATATATTGAGTGCTTGCGAGTGCCTGAACTGCTCTCCCAAGCACTTTGGTACTGAACAGACACAGCCTGAATGCAAACACGTTCATCTCTTTGCAAAATAATAAAAAAAATGAAGCAACAAAAATAACTAAACCTGTTGCTGCGTAAAGAAAACAGTCTGGAAAAGCACTGAATCGCCCCAGAGCAAAAGATGCAACAGAAAGATAACTTATTAAGCAATCCAAGGAACCAATTTGCAGGAATGTAGCAAGAGAAATGGGATTCCTCAGGAATTATCACTGAGAAGAGTTGGTTCATTGCACCCCATCTCCCTTCCCCGATGATGTGAAAGGCTTCTTACCTCAATCTCTGAAGAATCGAGCCCTGAGATCAGGGGAGGATGAGAAAAGGACATTTCAATGAAACGTTAGACCTCCACCCTCCTCACCCCTGTCACACCAGAGCATCCCCTCACTCTGCACTCAGTAGAAAAGCGACACTTGGCTTGAAACATCTTTTTTGCTTTCCTCTTCTCTCCACACACAAAAAAAAATGATCTTCCTCTCTTCTGTATGTATCTGTGCAGTAAATTCCAAACGGAGTGTCCTTTCTCTCTCTCTCTCTCTCTCTCCCCACCACCTCCCCCCTCAACACACACAGCGCCCCCTCCCTCCCCAATCTATTTGTCAAATTTCTCAAAGACAAATTCCTCACTGGACCAGTTTAAAGTCAGTCAGTCAGCACAGCACAGCACAGGATGGCAGTGTGGACGTTTAAAAATAACTTTCTGTCAAGATTGAAAACTGAGTGAGGGAAATACTGAGCCAAATAAGAACAGCCAGTTATTTATCCTTTTTGCACTTCACTGACAAAGCAAATCACTGCATGTGGCAGACTTGAACTGATTCACTCCTGGGATAGACATGGGCAGCTTCTCCTTTTCAATCAATCCACTGTTTATTTCTAAGAGAAAGCCAGTACAATTGGGGACTTGGACCCATTTTTCTAATTAGTGCGAGTGCTCTTTAATGTATTAAAAGAAAATTTTCCGTAGTGAAAGTGCTGTCTTCGTAAAGGACAGTACGAGCGAATGCATCAGATGGGAGATTTTCCAAATGCTTTAACCCTCAGTGTTACTTAAACATTCTTACGCTGTGTGTGATCTATAAATGCCAGCCTTAAAATAGAATCAGATCCACCAAGCACACAGCTTCAATAATTATTTACAAGTTATTCTTTACCAATAATTTTACAGTTATTGGGAATATAAGACAGGAGATTTAACGCATCAGAGCTTGTTGTTGGGGCAATTTGTCAAATCATGATACATCCTATTTTCCCATCCTTTACTTCCAGGATGAGCATATATTAAATAATAATCCTTGTATTTGATATAGCGCCTTATCATGTCTCAAAGTTTTTCACAGAATATACTGTAAAGTGGATTGACTGTATACTTTGTCGGCAAAACTCGGCACCCAATTGTGCACTAATGTCCTGCAAACAGTCGTGGAGCGAATCACAACATTTATTTTTGGAGATTATTGCTTCCGGAAAGTGCTCCACCAATCGACAAACAAAAAGGTTCTACTTAATGCTAGGTAAATAGAGGTATGTGGAGCAAGGTAACGTGCCTAAGGTTTTGCCCTACCTGGGAATCATACCCGGGTCCTCTCGCTTGCAAGGCGAGTGCGCTAACCACTACACTACAGGAGTCTGCGTAGGGTCAGTTTAGCTCAGTCAGTAGCCTCTGAGTCAAAAGCTTGTGCGTGCAAGCCCCCACATCAGGACTTTAAGTTCAGAGTTTAAGTTGACGCTCCAACAGAATACTGAGGAACATTGTATTAGAGGTACTGTCCTTCGAATGAGGTGTTAAATCGAGGTCCTGTCTGCCTGTTTAGGGGGTCGTTAAAGATTGCACGGTACAACTTGAAAAGAAAAGGAAGTTTCTTCCAGTGTCCTGGTCAACAATCCCCCAAATGCATATTGGTCATTCACTTCATAGCTGATTGTGGGACATTGGGTATCTAAATTGACTGCACACACAATTATAAGCTGTGAAGCACTTTAAAACGTCCTCCTGACGTAAAAGGCACTGTATCGAATGCAGGGATTATTATACCTTGCAAGTACAGACCCATTAGTCTGACCTCCATGAATGGAAAAATGATGGAGCCAGTCAGCAGAAAGAATATGATAGAATGGTTACTTGTACAGAAATAATCTAATATATGGCAGCCAATCTTTTGCCCTTCAGAAAGGACAGAAGAAATAAGCCATTTGAATACCAAAGTGAATTTTAAAGGTAACAAGATTCATTCTGACGGCTGTATCAAGCGCTTTGGACATTACCCTGCATGAAGGACGCTATATAAATGCAAGTTGCTGTTGCATGGGGATGCATTCAGTCTCTGCACGTATACTTCCCTCTGATTTTGCTAATACAGAATCATTAGAAATAATAATAATAATCCTTGC